CATACTGAGGATCGCTGGTTCACTCGCAAGGAGATCCTGAAAACAGCAAAGTCTGTTATCCTCAAATATGAGGCTGCAAAGAAGGGAGAGCCCCTTCGACGCTCTGCACGCCTACGCCCCTAGCTCGGAGGTCCTCGATTCGGGGGAGGGTAGGTCTGCAATGACTTGCTGGTTCCAGGCTGCCTGTAGCCTGTCTCTGACGAGGCTATACTGTAGGTAGGGACAAATTCGTAATTTTGTTTGGCTGAGGACTAACCAAGAGACCTGCCTGTATGGGAAATTTGTGAGGGACATATCTGTAAATATAGAAATATGGGCCCTGTACTAACTCGATTTTCCAACAGCTACCCTAACTGCGAATAGCAGGCCCGGGCCACCCCTAGGACAGACAGGCCCTATGGGCGTATGCTGATAGACGGTCCTATAGCCTATAGCTGGGTAGGGAGAGGCCCTAGAGGCCGAAACAGAAACAGCACCGGTCGGTAAGTCAGTCCGGTCTAGGTCGGTCTAGGCTGGTAGAGTATAGGTAGGATGGGGACACCGGTCCAGGGCTTTTGGCAGTTGACACTTCGTGTTGGGAGTTGCTGCGCACACGGCATCAGGCCGTGGTTGCTGATTCCAGTGCTGGACACGGCGGACATAGCCGGACCTTCGGAGCGTTGACCGGACTGGGGTCAACGCTGTCCGCTCCGACTCTCTGGGAGTCATAGCGGTCTGGGCCATCTAAGGTCTGATGCGTTGGAGCACGTGGTGCACTGCTGACCCTCCTCGGGAGTAGGGTCCTAGTGGCGATGCAGCCATAGCTGCATCTTCTCAGAGATTCTCATTGTCTGGACTTCATCTTCATCAGGGACTGTTAGCGCTGAGCTTCTTCTTCATCATCTGGATGGCGATTGGCTCTGGGAGTCTGTTTCACTTTGGCGCAGGCCACTGAGTTGGATGTCAGGGTGGCACTGGGTATTACCTGGGGTTTCAGTGCTATTTTTAGCTGTTCAGGGTGTTGGGGTTGAGGCGCTACCCCTCTGAGGGTAGCGCAACAGGGTTCTGAGGTTATTCAGTGAAAACGGTGCTCGGTGCTCTGAGTTTTATAAACAGTTGTAATACTGTGTTTGAGTTGTCATCTCCTCATTGCTTTCTGGTTGTGATCACTCGGTTGTCTTCCATGAATGATTGTTGGGAATTGTGTGGAGAGAATTCACTGTCTGTGTATTCTGTCACTTCACTCCTTTGAGTCTTCCGCTGCGTTTCTTTCTGTTGGGCGGTGTGATACTCCACTACCTCTCCCCTTCCTTTTGTGCATGTATGGGCATGTACGGGGGTTCATGTGAGTGAGTGTTGATAAAATCTCAACAGACAATCATGTTCATAACACATGCCTAACCATCTGAGCTAGGTCGCTGACTACCGCTGTTGGGGCGGGGGGCCAACATGCAATCCCTTCTTGTGAGGTAGCTATGTTTGCAGAGGTCCCCTTTATATGGTCTTAGGAGTGACGGCAAAAAGAATATGAGAGAAGAACATAGCGTAGTTAAAAAGAAAAAAAGCAAAAAAAAAACAAAAAGAAGGGAAAAGAGGTATAAATTCTATAGAACAGCCCATACTCAGAATATGCATCGGTGCCCATCTGCTCCCAATCTGTCAGGGACCACCATCGTTTTCAAGGGCAAAAGTTGATTGTTTTTCAATGTAAAGGGCTGTGGAGTTTGTGGTGTAAGTGGTGTTGCCTTGCGGTGTACGCGTCAACTCAAACCCAGCAGGCTCTCCCCAAAAGCATCCATAGTCCATAGTGTATCACGGTTGCACACAGATGAATAGGTTAAGGGTTCGAATCCCTTTTTTCCTGTAATGTAATCCCTACACTACTCAAATCGCTAACGTGACAAATCTGAAATCCGGGTCGTCATCGGTCCTACCAGCCCACGGCCCAGATCGACCGAGCCACGTAACAAATCTGCCATCTGGGCCGTCGGGTCCTACCAGACCGACGGCCTGGATAGATGCGGTCTTAAGATCTTAGTACCGCGCCGAGATTCAGGCCGTCGGTCGCAGATAGACACGCCGAGTGCCGTGGGGTACTGCTGGAGTTCACGACATCGGGCCAACCCAACTTTCCCGTTGGACTGGCCGTTGTCGTGCAGCGCCCTCAGTCCATTGCATTCGGTGTTGTCGTGCTTCTGCTGTTGTCGTGAAGCGCGCCGTGCTCCCGGTTGTGAAGCGCCCTGCCATGAAGCTCTCTCTCTCTCTCTCTCTCTCTCTCTCTCTCTCTCTGTGTGAAATCCGGGTCGTCGTCGGTCCTACCAACCCATGGCCCAGATCAACCAAACCATGTAACAAATCTGCCATCTGGGCCGTCGGGTCCTACCAGACCGAAGGCCTGGATAGATGCGGTCTTAAGATCTTAGGACCGCGCCGAGATTCAGGCCGTCGATCTCAGATAGACATGCCGAGTGACGTGGGGTACTACCGGAGTTCACGACATCGGTCCAATCCAACTTTCCCGTTGGACTGGCCGTTGTCGTGCAGCGCCCTCGGTCCATTGCATTCGGTGTTGTCGTGCTTCTGCTGTTGTCGTGAAGCGCCCCGTGCGCCCGGTTGTGAAGCGCCCTCCCATGAATCTCTCTCTCTCTCTCTCTCTCTCTCTCTCTCTCTCTCTCTCTCTCTCTCTCTCTCTCTCGTTCGACTGTGGTTGGCCGTTGGTGCTGTACGCTGTGGCTCTCTCTCGCTCGCTCGCCTGTCGTTGGCAGTTCGGAGTTCTGCATCAATGACGCCTGAACGCCGGTCGAAGATGGCAGACACAGGTCAGTACACTTCTCCATGGTCCCTCTGCCCTCTCCCCCTAACTTCCGCTGCCCCTCCTCCGCTCTCCATCGCTCCTACTCCGCGTGTCCTGCGATCTCTGCCCCTCTCCGCTCCTCTGCCGCTTGTCCCCCCTTCAGCTTTCCCTCAGAGAGAGAGAGAGAGAGAGAGAGAGAGAGAGACCCGAACCTAACTA